TGTATCTCTGGGCTCCTGGTTTTTCCTCACCCAGCGTAAGGAACCTTAGTCTTGACAAGCCCTCACAGTGGCAAAGTATGTGTACTCTCGTGTGTACTGCTGTTTCTTCCTCTTCTTGACAGAACCTGCTTAGCAGTTCTTCAGTCAGACCTATCGTACTCATGTGTTTGTTGAGCCTACAATGCCCTGTGAGAAGTCCCACTAGTATTCTAGTTGAACTTCGTTTCTGGCTTAGTAGATATTCTGTGAATGTTGGCGATGGTTTTTTAATAAACTCTTTTGCCTGTCTCATTTCTGGCGAGTTGTTCCACCATTCTTGAGATTTGGTTTGCATCCATGATTTGATACTAGTCTTTTGTATAGCTTTCGCAATACCACAGAAGGGTTCTGGGCCATTAAGAGCTTTGTTTGCTCCTGCTCGGGCAAGTGAGTCTTCCTCTTCATTGCCCTCGTACCCTGTATGTGCTGGTAGAGTCAATCTGTTCTGACTGCCCAGTGCATTTAGGGTTTCTTAGCAGTCCCATACTAGTTTTGAGTTAACTTGCATAGAGTTGACTGCTTTGATTGCCGCCTGGCTATCTGAATTGATTGCAATGGTTTTGCCTTTAAACTCTTGCCTTATCAATTCTTTCACGCAATGATGTATTGCAATAATTTCTGCCTGAAACACCGTCGCGTATTTGCCTAAGCTCAGTGAGATTCTTGTCTTTGGCTTGGCCCCATAAATACCAGCTCCTGATCCTTCCTCAGTTTTGGAGCCGTCCGTATAGACAGCAATGCATTGATAGGAGGTCCTTCCCTCCATGCCTCTCTGTATCTGTTAGGTAGTTAGTAGGCATGTTTTTCTAATGGCACCTGCTATTTTCTTGACATCATAATATGAAAGGAAATTACATTCGAGGATGATTTCTCAATAAGCATCCCCTATGCCCAACTCAAAGCTCTATCGAGTGGTTCAATAAAAATCAAGAAACGCCTTAACTGGCCGAGAGATAAAAGTGTTTTCGTAAACTAGTCCGTCGAAAATTATTTTAAAGAAATTGATATATCTCGAAAACTGTGATGAATGAGTTATCATGAATCAGTTTTTCTGAACCCAGAATTGAAAGGTCAATCAAACCAGATGAAAAAAATCAGATTTCCATTCGAAATAAGGAAGTCGGTGTCGACTTTTGACAAACCATGTATAGCTGTTGGACCGAAAACATTTCAGTATCAGATTGGAAATAATCGATTCAAATATCACACCAATTTTCGAGTTGTTACTCGGAAAACTTCTAATGTGTGGCTTACGTAAATCACCCTGTATATCATATCCCAATAGTCCTACGAAGTTGAATCTAGTTTGGAAGAAGATTAGTGCGATCTGTTCTCATTAGAGTCCTTAATCATTATGAATAATAAAAAATGAAATTAGTCGGATATTGTCCTAGAATTTTACAGGTATACTGTTTAAGTACCTATACCAGTACTTTATTATAGCCAGTATATTTCCACAATTACAAAGACAATCTCGTTCTCGTTCTTTGCCTGTTCGCTAATTAGGTGCAAATGACGAGCACCCTCTTGAAAGAACAAATGAATCACGCGACAGGGGCGGTGTTTACGTACAGGGTAATTTATTATATTTTGACACCCTTTAATTTTCCTTTAGATTAATACAAAATTTTTAGGTATAGGTATGATAACATTATCATTTTTCAACTCCATATTGTATATAAATACTGTCTGTAACTAAATCGAAGAGTATAGTGGAATATTCATTTCTCTAGATTTTTGGGGCTTTATCGTCTCAATAAAAAAAATTATTAGGTACTCATAATTCTTATACTTACTTATAATTTCAATATACAAATATCGATGTGGTAATTTAGGTATACATAGTTTGTATCTGATTAATCATCCACAGTCTCCAAAACTCAACTTTATATACAGGGAGATTCAATTTTTCTCGAGAAACAGTGAGGAAAGCGATAGACAGATATTGAGACCATTCAAGTTTTTAGTGTGAATTCTTTCAAGTATGGGTTCTACCTACAGGGCGTTGTAGTGCATCTGGGCAATATGGTGTTTCTACGATAACTTTTTTTTTATAATATACCTACCAAGAATGGTTTATTCGCAACGAATGAATGTGCGCAAAATGATTGGAAAGGTTATGTTGAGTCTATGAAAAGGCTATAAAAAACCCAGGGAAAATGGATTTTCGTGACATCCCAAGGATATAATCAATCAATCAATCAATCAATCAATCAATCAATCAATCAATCAATCAATCAATCAATCAATCAATCAATCAATCAATCAATCAATCAATCAATCAATCAATCAATCAATCAATCAATCAATCAATCAATCAATCAATCAATCAATCAATCAATCAATCAATCAATCAATCAATCAATCAATCAATCAATCAATCAATCAATCAATCAATCAATCAATCAATCAATCAATCAATCAATCAATCAATCAATCAATCAATCAATCAATCAATCAATCAATCAATCAATCAATCAATCAATCAATCAATCAATCAATCAATCAATCAATCAATCAATCAATCAATCAATCAATCAATCAATCAATCAATCAATCAATCAATCAATCAATCAATCAATCAATCAATCAATCAATCAATCAATCAATCAATCAATCAATCAATCAATCAATCAATCAATCAATCAATCAATCAATCAATCAATCAATCAATCAATCAATCAATCAATCAATCAATCAATCAATCAATCAATCAATCAATCAATCAATCAATCAATCAATCAATCAATCAATCAATCAATCAATCAATCAATCAATCAATCAATCAATCAATCAATCAATCAATCAATCAATCAATCAATCAATCAATCAATTTATTAATCCGTTGGAAAACTTGCAAGAGTTATTGGACAAGTCAACAAAGCACCACAAAAAATAAATATAACACAAAATAATAGTGATAGTGATAATAATATGTTCCTAATTAACAGTAATATTGATATTGACAAATGAATCAAATGGTCAATGACATATATAGGCAAAGACATATACAACTGCAATAAGACTTTATAAAAATTTGAGAATAAAACACACACAGATATTGAAGTAAAGTTAAAATTCTGAAATCAAAGTAGAGTAAGGACAAAGATCTATGAGGAGTTTGGACAATGCACCTTTGAATTTGCGAACAGGCAGGATAGTTTTCAAGTTTTGTGGTACAGAAACACCTAAAGTGTTTGGTGACCTTTCGGTTAGTTCCAGGTGCTTGAATGGCACATGGTAGTCCTCTTTCTCTTGTGAAAGTGCTTGTCACTATTCTTCATGTACAAATTTTGATTTTGATGAACATATGACATGAGTTCAAGAATGTATATGCCAGTGACTGTTAAAATTTCATTTTCTTTAAATATGTTCTCACATGAGTGTGTTGCTGGACAACCAACTAGGCATCTTAGAATACGCTTCTGAGCAAGAAATACATTAGTTGCTGCAGGAGTGTTCCCCCATACAATAATACAATAAGAAATTCTAGAATGCACTTCTGCAAAATAAAATTTTAGGAGATGACTCAGATGCAGTGCACTTTTGAGGTTTCTTATTTGATAACATTTAGAGTTCGAGATCTTACATAACTTATTCTCAACGTCATCGATGGTGTCAATAGTATTTTCATTTAAGCAGATATTTAATCGTGATATATTTGTATTCTGATGAAAATGGAAGGTTGTGTAGTTAGTTTTACTAGCATTCAGCAACAAGGATCAGGTCAGAAAATCAGACAGATAATCTGTTAACTGAACTATGGATTTTTGATTGCAGGCTTGCAACCCTAACAACACGGGATCTTGCTGGTACACCCGCTAAGGTCTTACAAATGTCCAAATGTTTCAGACTTAGGTACGATATCCCAGAGATGATTCTCTTTGGTCATCCATCAGATGTTTTCATTGGATGTTCTAGAAACATCCCATTTGATCTTTTTTTATAAACAATATCATGGTTCCATATCTGCTAATGATGATTGACATAATATTGAACAGTTCAAACAATTGTGACATTTGAAAGATTGAAAAGTTGATAAAACATGGAAATCGAAATTGTATTCGTACATATATACTTATACCTATACCAAAGCCGGCTAATTTCATCGATAACAAATTGAAATAATTATACTAAATATTCCTCAATAAGATTACCAAAGTACCTGCTTAACTTCAGGAACCATGTAATAAACGACAAAATCAAAATATATTTCTTCAGCATATTTATTGCTGAATTTATTTGTTATACCAGCCGATAGATGGCGGTACAACTACGTTGCTAAGAGTTACTAACAGCCGTCGGCCCAGCGCCAACAAATATGAGCCTCAAACAACTGTTATCATCTTCCATTAGTTATTGGACCGCACCGACCTTATATTTTCGGATTCGGATTGTTACTTGATATCTGGAAATAGGTCGGCCATTTTCAGGATTTCAGATTGAGAATAATTCATACCTAGTCATCCATTACTGTCATCAAACAAAAAACATCCTATATAAAAGTTTCTTTAAGATGTTCCATATCAAGTACCCTGAATGTCTCTAGTACATCCCGTATCATCCCACAAACATTCTGATGGGATGTGTATAAGACATCGCAAATGCTGACACGGGTGTTGCCAGCAACATCCCAAGAATGTCTCAAGGAAAATAGGGCTTTTCCAGAGATGTTCCTATCATCCCATATGGATGTTTCTACGACGTCTTACAGATGTTATTGTGTTATTAGGGAAAGTCTTCATCTTTAATTAGTAATGTAGATTCATGCAGTAATCATCTCAATCTATAATTCGTTGCGCATGAAACAATCACCCTGTACGTTCTTCTTCGTACGGCCGAAAAGAGGCAGAAGTAGGTCGACGGGCGGCTCTTGAGCAAGCCGCCGCTGGCCGCCCCCAAAACGGCGCTGCCGTCGCCCAACACTAGCCGGACACTTCGCACTTTCAGTCCATCCATGTCCGAGGACGGCGATGCGGATGCGATGCTCGAAGCGTCGCTGTGGCTGATCGTGAAGTGGCGCTTCAGAAACGTCGGGTTCACTTTCCTTCTTGCCTTCTGTTCGTCTGTTGTTATTTGTGTTTTCGACTCGGCGAGTTGTGTCCATCAGGTATGAACGTTATTTTCCGCTTTCTTCACTAATACAATTGATTGTCTTCAGACATAGAAGGAACGTGTATTCGAGTAGTCCTTAATATACGATGATATCTTACAATTTTTGAATTGACTCGGCCGTTATTTGATTCTCAATCACACGACATGTTTTGTTAACACAGTAGCTTCATCAGGTGGAATACTAAGAAGTCAAATTCAACAGTGTTGAACTATTGAGGTCTAATTGATCGTTAAGTAAAATGTTAGAATTTTTGAGTTCCTTAATTTCCAATGATTCAAAATGATTGAGTTATATTCCTTCATTTTGTGCGTGTAGAATTTCGAAATTATTATTTTTTCAAAAAACGCTATGAAACGCAGCTATTCAAGAAGTATATCCTACCATCAAAATTAATTATGAAAATTATAGAACTTCAACCTATTTCGGATCATCAACTGAAAAATATGCTTCACTTCTACAAAAACAGAACTTAAAAGTAGCATATAGAACAAATAACACTTTGGGAAGGTTTATCAAAAATGATAAAGACAAAACTAAGGTATATGTCGGTCAGACAGGTCGTACGTTTAATCAGCGCATTCATGAACATGAGACGATGTTTTTCAAAAAGAAAAAAAATCAACATACGCCAACCATATATTGAAAGAAAAGGATAGTTTTGATGATAATCTCGAAATTCCACACGTAGAATATAAAGGAATAAAACTCAATTATTTTGAAACATTAGAAATTAACAATCTCAAAAATTCAAACATTTTACTTAACGATCAACTAGGCCTTAATAGGTCACCACTGTTGAATTTGTTTTCTCTTAGTAGGTAATAATATGTATTTGCTATCAACCCTTTCAAGTTAATCCGTTACACCGTATTTTAATGTAGATATTGTTCCTATTTTCCGAAAATAAAGGTTTATCGAACCTTTCCACAGGTAATTCTAATCCTTCAGTTTGGATATATAAAAGCTAGGCAAGCCAAGGATAGTTTAGTTCATTGTACCAGTATTTCACCTGATGAAGCTACTGTGTTAGCGAAACATGTCGTGATATTAAGAATTTTGTGGAAATCTTATCGTTCTTGAAGTTTTTACAGATATTTAACAACAATGAAAAATACACTCATCGGCAAAAAAAACCGACCAGCAGAAAATTTTGTGAAATTGATCGCCCTGTAACTTTTTCGATTTTAGTCCGATTTCTGTGAAATTCCAACCAAATCGTGAACTTGTGTTTCGAAATTGTAATTGTAATTGAATGAATTGTAATTGAATTTTAGTTCCCCAAGAAAGCTGATGGCTTGATCATTATACAGAAAATAACAAAACTTACTCTTTCATGCACCCATAACTTCTTAACGCTCTGTGGCAAAGGTTGGTGGCTGAACTTAGCTTCTTCATTCATTGGATCGGAGTTTGCTTTTATCAACAATAATTCAGAACTATTCTCGAAACTTCTGCTTCATCATGTGTTGTGGATTGAAGTGTGATCCCTTTTCTTCCCTTCCCAACTCAATAGTTCTTCTTCTTAGAGAGAAGATAGGGGAGTTCTCCCTAAAATTACATAACCTAAGCATTTTGGCTCATAGAGAGCAGGACAATTTGTCATAGCTATTTGCACACCCATTGTTCAGATATCATGTCAAGAACCATGTCCATTTCAAGAATATTTTTTATATTGGACGTTCTCGAACTTATGACCAAATGAAAAATAAAGTGTGTAACAATGTCCACTCAAATATTGCTCCATTTCCTAAATGTAAAAGGTCCTGTTGAAAGACCTCAACAGTACAGGTACTCGTACCTAGGTTGTATCCTCCCAGCAGAATCATCACTTGAAAAAAAAATTTAATTAACTTTTACTTATACATTAAACTTAATTATGCAATTATGTGAAAATAAATGATATGTATGGGGTGTAGGAATAAATTTTGATTTGATTTGATTTGAAAATGTCATTTTAGGCTGATACAGGGTGAGTCGGGAGGAACGCACCAAATTCCAGGTGTTTATTGTACACGTAAAAATAATTTCAAAAAACCCATATGTTCTTATACGATTCTCATTTGTTTTCATTCTAAATTTGAATGGATGTGTGGCATTTTATAAGACTTTAATCGTACAATCTCGATTGTTTGGTCCGTTTCGTTGTTCTGACATGTGTTAGTGTTAGTGTGCAGGGTGTTTGACGCGTTTATTTTCGAGTTTGTACGTTCAGTCTTATAAAGTGTCACACATCTATTCAAATTCAGAATGAAAACAAATGAGAATCGTATAAAAACATATGGGTTTATCAAATTATTCACGTGTACAAGATATACACACCTGGAGTTTGATGCGTTCCTCCCGACTTACCCTGTCTATAGGTCAAATGATGTACTTGATGATAATAAGCGGAAACATGATAAAGTGTTGGATTAATCATTTTTATGGAAAGAGAGATAGCTCAAAAAAACGAAGAGATTAACTGCAAACTTCACAAATGAAGATTTCACGTCCTACTGGAACATATAGGCACACTCACACTGGGTCAAATGTTCACATTTGATGCATTTTATCAATTCTCCTTAAATTCTGGATTTCTAGAATAATGGGTTGCAATCTCGGTTGCAATAGAGACAACGTCGTTGTCGTTACTGTCGACTTCGAATAGGTCTTCCATACTATGTCATTTTACCGTGATGGGTTGTGTATCATTTCACCCCGAATGCATCAAATGCCATGACAGAGTTTCGATTGAATGTAGGATAAATGTTCGAAGCGGTTTGTTTTGATGATATGACCATTGATTGACCAATGAGCACAAACAAAAAATCAATGTGAACGAACCAATAAAAACAAAGTAAACCGTTTTGACAGCTTTCAAGACCTCCGATAGGAATGTGGCACTTACATTTCTAGTTCTGAGATAGTGTTGTGCAACTCAACGAATTCAAAATAGGGCCCGTCTGTTATTTCACCCAAGTATGCCATTTCAGATGTGCCATCACAAGTGTTTGAAAGTATGATAGATTTTTTGAATTTTTATCAACAATAAATCAGAACATATAGAGCCTTATCAGAGACAATTCAAAAGTTACGACTCATCCTTCATGAAAAGTTTGAGGTAATTCCTCAAGACTGCTTGAGAAATTTGATCAACTTGATGCCAGGGTGCTTGAATGCTGTAATTCAAGTTTGAGGAGGGCGTACTCATCATTGACTACAACTAAGAGGTCTGCTTTTCGTTTATTTCTAGTAATTAGGGTTTCTTGTTGCTGGCGAGTGCTGAAAAAATGGGGTCGAAGTAGGTGATATCAATTTTTAGATGTTTTTTCGAGTTGTTAATCGATAAGTTCATGTAATCATGGATAAGGAAGCAAATTCTGTCGGTTTGACATAAAATAGTTACCGGTGTGAAAATAGAAACGGTCTCCGTATCGGAAACGAAATAATAGTATATGCGCACAGGTGTAAAATGTTATTACATCGATTCTTCCGTTTTAACATTCAGATATCGACTGAAACCATTGCGATCCAAATGTTTTGCGTCAATATGATGATTATAATGATGAAATGGGGTATACACACAAATAGGGTGCTACTACCCCTATATATAGATTAATATCATCAGAACTAATCAAAACCAAATTAACTCATCGTTTTTGAAAATCTATATTCGATAGGATATTCAAAATGAGTGAGAGAAACATACCAACCCTGTTCCAGAATTTGTATCTCAAAACTCACCCTGGAAACCACCCCCGAATAGATGAAAATTACGTAAAATCATGTGAAATAATCGTTTCTGAAAATTTCTTTCTGACAATATCATAAGAACGAACAGAGAAAACATACCTACCCTGTTTCAGAATTTGTATCCCAAAACTCATCCTGAAAACCACCCCCGAATAGATGAAAATTACGTAAAATTATGTGCAATAATCGTTTCTGGAATTTTTTTTCTCACAATATAATCAGAACGAACAGAGATAACATACCTACCCTGTTTCAGAATTGGTATCCCAAAACTCACCCTGAAAACCACCCCCGAATAGATGAAAATTACGTAAAATTATGTGCAATGATCGTTTCTGAAAATTTTTTTTTCACAATATCATCAGAACGAACAGAGAAAACATACCTACCCTGTTTCAGAATTTGTATCTCAAAACTCACCCTGGAAACCACCCCCGAATAGATGGAAAATACGTAAAATTATGTGCGATGATCGTTTCTGAAAATTTTTTTCTCACAATATCATCAGAACGAACAGAGAAAACATACCTACCCTGTTTCAGAATTTGTATCTCAAAACTCACCCTGGAAACCACCCCCGAATAGATGAAAGTTACGAAAAATTATGTGAAATAATCGTTTCTGAAATTTTTTTTCTCACAATATTATCAGAACGAAGAGAGGAAACATACCTACTCTGTTTCAGAATTTGTATCTCAAAACTCACCCTGGAAACCACCCCCGAATAGATGAAAATTACGTTAAATTATGTGAAATAATCGTTTCTGGATTTTTTCTTCTCACAATATCATCAGAACGAAGAGAGAAAACATACCTACCCTGTTTCAGAATTTGTATCTCAAAACTCACCCTGGAAACCACCCCCGAATAGATGGAAATTACGTAAAATTATGTGCAATGATCGTTTCTGAAAATTTTTTTCTCACAATATCATCAGAACGAATAGAAAAAACATACCTACCCTGTTCCAGAATTTGTATCTCAAAACTCACCCTGGAAACCACCCCCGAATAGATGAAAATTACGTAAAATCATGTGAAATAATCGTTTCTGAAAATTTCTTTCTGACAATATCATAAGAACGAACAGAGAAAACATACCTACCCTGTTTCAGAATTTGTATCCCAAAACTCATCCTGAAAACCACCCCCGAATAGATGAAAATTACGTAAAATTATGTGCAATAATCGTTTCTGGAATTTTTTTTCTCACAATATAATCAGAACGAACAGAGATAACATACCTACCCTGTTTCAGAATTG